CCTTTTGCCCAGTGATTACTCCTTGTTCTGTTTGGCTATTCTCTTTTCCCACCAACCAGACTCCTTGTAAAAATAGGCATTCTGCTTTTGTTTGGATAGTATTTAAGCTCTTGCTATCTTTTAGTTTTGCTTTGTTACTTATTATTGTAGCTCCATCGCTTGTTCTTTTTGTTCATAACTCTTTTATCATTACTATATCTGCTTAAACTCTATAAAAAACTGCCCAACTTTTAAACTCTTCTCTATCTTAGTGTTTTACTCTTTCCTTCTCCATAGAACTCGCAATTTAAAATTCTCTCATTTTCTTTAAAAATTAAACTTCCAAATTAAAAATGGCTTCCAAAAAAAGAATAGAAACCGACGTAATGAAACTGTAAGTTTTCCAACGCCTTTTCCAACTCCTTTTCAAACTAATTTTCTTATTTCTTCCATTTCAAAGGCTCATGAGTGATTATAAAGTTTCTCTTGTAAATGATAATCTCCAGGAATTCTTTGTTCGTTTTAATGGTCCAAAAGATAGTAAGTTTCATTTTCAACCTAAAACTTTTTTAATAGTAAAACTCGATTTACTCTCTTCCTATTTGAAATAGCCCCTTTCGCCGGCGGAATTTGGAAAGTGCGTGTTGAGCTACCTGACCAATACCCCTACAAATCTCCCTCCATAGGCTTCTGCAACAGAATTTATCACCCAAACATTGATGAAACGTAACTTTTACACTTATTAACTCTTCAAAATCAGAAAAATAGTTAAAACTATCCTTTCTTTTTTAGGAGTGGATCCATTTGCCTTGATGTCATAAACCAAACCTGGAGTCCAATGTTTGGTAAAGTATTTTAATATTCCTTTAAAAGTTTCCCTTAATCTCTGACATTCGCTAATATTTTTTTATTAGATATGATAAATATCTTTGAAACTTTTATTCCGCAGTTACTCCGATACCCAAACCCTGCTGACCCATTGAATGGCGAAGCTGCTTCTTTACTAATTAGAAACTCTTCTGCTTACGAAGCCAAAGTTAGAGGTATTTTTTTTCCATCACCCTATCCCCTTATTATCACCAAATTTTAACTTTACCATAAATTAGAACATGTAAAAAAATATGCCACTAAGGAAGCCGTTAATATGGCCTCTTGTAATGCCTCTGACGACGAAGATGAATGTAGCTCCATTGGGTCAATTGATGAAGATGACGAGTGAATAAACTTGGATAACCTTGTTGCTTACCACCAAGGAAAAGTTGTTTGTTTTCAAAATTTAATATATTTGTATTAGCCATATAATGAGCTCTGGCCTTGTATTTCTCTAAATAAATAAACTTGCTAGAAATTAAAGTAAACATAGATAGCCAATAAAGTTAAAAACACCAATAACCTTTCCACAGAAATATGCTGCGTAGTTATGAACATGGCATATTAAGCTCTTTTTTATAAACTCGATCAGTATTCTTTATTTAAACAGTTTTCTAACAAAAATTATTTAATATAGTTTATACAAATATTCGCAAACTTAGTATTCATCTTCATTTCACATTCCATTCAAAATGACATCTAAACTTGGTTTGATTCCTCAAGACACAGTATACAAGCTATGTTCAGGCCAAGTGATTCTTGACCTTGGAACTGCAATAAAAGAACTACTTGAAAATAGCATAGATGCTGGCGCAACAACAATAGGTACATTAAAGTTTTTGCAAGTTTTTAATGATAGCTACATTAACTTTCATTCAATTTTAATATTTTTAGAGATTAAATTGAAAAATTATGGACTTGAAGGCATTACCGTCACTGACGATGGAAATGGTGTTGAACAAGATGATTTCGAAGGGCTTTGTAAGAAACATTAATTTTTTTAAACAGTTAACAATAAAATGTATTTAATAGGTAGGAAAAGTTGGACATCAAAAATATCAACCTTTGAAGACTTGACCAAAGTATCAACTTTTGGGTTCCGTGGGGAAGCTCTTAGTTCTCTCACCTCTGTTTGCGATGTAAAAATCACTACTGCAACTAGTGAAACTAGTCCTGTGGGAACTTTATTGGAGTTTGATAGTTTAGGCGAAATTAAATCACAGAAAAAAGCTGCTAGACAGGTAAAAATTGAAATCATTTTGTCCAAAATTCTTAACAAACTTTATTTTTCAGAAAGGAACTACAGTGCAATTGTCAAACCTTTTCAAAGGATGGCCTGTAAGATACCAAGAATTTAAAAGAAACCTCAAAAGAGATTTTGCTAAATGCATTTGGTATGTTGAGCAATACGCAGTAATTACAGACAACGTTCAAATATCTCTTTATAACCAGCCAAACAATGGGTAATAGACTAATACTCCAAAATATTTCTTTCTAAAAATCGACATTTTGTTTATAGACATATGGGATTGATATTACGCACTCAAAAATCATCTAGTATGCTTGATAGAATAAGTGGAATATTTGG